GGAGCCCGTATATTACTGCTACTAATTGTAAAGGCTTGGCCACTAATTTGTAATGATGCCACCAAATTGTAAGGATGTATAAATATAACTGCTAGCAATATGTAGAGAGTTGGTAAAAGGAGCCACCTCTTTGTGAGGCCTTATTATATTGATGACACAACAAATAGCTTGTAATGTTGCTTTGGTCTTTCTTCAATATGTGGCATGACTTGACTTGGAAAGGAATGGTAACATAGGCTTGACTTTAAAAAGAAACTATAGCAAGTTTATTGAGGTACAGAAGCTTGATGGTTTCAAAGTTTCCTTTCTTTTAGAGGTACAGATCTTCAAAGGTTACATTCATAACAGTTCTTAAATAACTCTGAGGAGGACTAATTCTTCTAACAAACTGGTCTCAAACTTAGTTCCTTTAAAAATATGTTTCTTTAACAGATTGTTTCAGGCACACGCTTATCCTTTCTTTATGATGGTTCTGTTACAATAAAGATGCTTAATAGGGCTTCCCCTCTTTTTTCCACAACCGTTACTTTTAATATAAATAAGTCATTCTAATATACTCTAATATATCTAATACATCACGATATATCTAAACTATATTGACTCAAAGCCAAAACCTTCCTGATTCTTAATTCTAAAGAATCAGCCTTCCCCTGTAGTTCTTTGACTACAGAATCATGGTTCTCCACAAACAACAGAACCAGTCACTTCTGCCATTCACTGACCACAAACGGACTGCTTTAAAATGGCTGCTCTGCCAAGTGGCAGTTGGCTCCGCCCCTATCTCCATAGCAACTCAGCTCAAAGCGAGCTAAGCTGGCTACCATCCCCCAGTATTATGCAATACTATATACTTACCCTTACAAACACTTATCTATAACAATACATAACTGTAGATAAAAATTTACACTTCATCACACCACCCCTCTCAGCCCAGAGGCGACACGGAGCAGTTCACAAATTGGCAACAATTCGATGCCTCAACAGTTATAACAAGTAAAACAATCCTAAAATTCTGTTAAAAACAATCACTTATGATATAAAAATATAAAAACCGTACAAAGCCTTAAAACATTATCGTGAGCGTCTCCATGGCAAGTCATTATTCCACTGCGTTATCAAGTAGTTCCATGATTCCGTAGAGCTAAGCCGTATTTGGGAAGGCCTGCTCAAAAATCCAGGTTTTCACCTTTTTTCGAAAAGTCAGGAGGGAGGGAGCCGATCTTATATCTCTAGGCAGGGCATTCCACAGTCGAGGGGCCACCGCTGAGAAGGCCCTGTCTCTCGTCCCCGCCAGACGCATCTGCAAGGAAGGCAGGACCGAGAGCAGGACGTCCCCAGAAGATCTTAACATCCTAGATGGTTCATAAGGAGAGATATGTTCGGATAGGTAAGTTGGACCGATATTTTTGTTGATATATTTGTGGTCCCCCCCCCCTCCCAATATATGAAGACCACTGCCATCACCGCCCAAGCAGGGAGCTTTGAAATGGTTGAACAGAAGCTCTCTGAAGCTTTAGATGCTCTTACTGCCTATTACAAGGGAAACCACCTGATTCCGAATCCATCTAAAATGCAAGCGTGTGCTTTTCATCTTAAGAACATACAAGCATATTGAGCTCTGAGGATGGGAAGGAATCCCACTGGAGCAATGCAGCACACCCAAATACCTGGGAGTTACCCTGGACCATGATCTGACCTATAAAAAACATTGAGATTTCTGCGGTGGAGGAAACACATAAAATCTAAGATGAAATTGTCCCCATATGAAAGCCTTCACTTGGGTGGTGGGCAGTATGGTATTCGTGGATGACATTGGCAGGGCTCGTGGCACTCACTATAACCTGCAATGCCATTGGAGAAAGGGCTATTAGTGTCTCCTAAGTAGTGGAGTTATAGCTGTTTTGGAGGCAGGAGCTTGCCTGTGTAAGTGGACACCCCAGCTACAGACACACACACACACACACACACACACACATTTTATTTACTTATTTATTTATACAAATTTGTTTGTTTATTTATCATGCAGGAGCAAACCAAACAGTTGTATTGCTATTTATACAAATGCTACACACACACACACACAATTATAAGCTGTCCTGAATCCCCTTCGGGGGTTGAGAAGGATGGGATACGAATTATATATATGTAATCTCACCTTAAAAACTCTGGCGTAGACACTGAGAACTGGAAAGCCCTGGCCCTTGAGTGCTCCAGTTGGAGGTCAGCTGTGACCAGCAGTGCTGCAGAATTTGAAGAGGCACGAATGGAGGGCGAAAGAGAGAAACGTGCTAAAAGGAAGGTGCGTCAAGCCAACCCCGAATGGGACCGCCTTCCACCTGGAAACCGATGCCCTCACTGTGGGAGAAGATGCAGATCAAGATCAGGGCTCCACAATCACCTATGGACCCACCGCCAGGATACTACACTTGGAGGACCATCATCCCCGGACTATGAGGGATCGCCTAATGAAAAAATGAATAAAAGAGCAACACTAAAAATCGAGGGAATTCCAGACAAGAAACAATCAGGGCCTCCCAAAAAAAGATTCCCCCCCCCCAGGCAGGAAGCAGCCAGGCTTTGAAGCTGCAAGGCCATTCAATGCTAATCAAGGCGGCCAATTGCAACATTCACACCAATTGCTAATCAAGGCGGCCAGTTGCAACATTCACACCTGCCTCAAGCAGACAAGAGTTTTTTTCTTCCCTCCTGGACATTTTTTCGCAGATATATAAACCCCAAATTCTTCAAATTCTACAGCACTGCTGGTCACAGCTGACCTCCAGCAAGAGCACTCAATGGCCAGGGCTTCCCAGTTCTCAGTGTCTGTGCCAGATATATAAATCTCACTTGCCTAGTTTTCAACAGACCTCACAACCTCTGAGGATGCCTGCTACATATGCAGGCGAAAATGATCAGGAGAGAATGCTTCTGGAACATGGCCATACAGCCTGGAAAAAACTCACAGCAATACAGTGATTCCGGCCATGAAAGCCTTCAACAACACAATATTTACATCAGCTATGGCTCAAAGCCAACCTTCAAAACTGTGGCATAGACACTGAGAACTGGGAAGCCCTTGCCCTTGAGCGCTCTTGGTGGAGGTCAGCTGTGACCAGCAGTGCTGTAGAATTCGAATGGAGGGCAAAAGAAGCATGGCCAAAACTCACAGCAACCCAGTGATTCCGGCCATGAAGGCTTCGACAATCTATATCTATAAATCTGTAAGGGGCGTCCAACGGGACAGCAAAACAAAAAAAAACCAACGAAAATTTAACAAAATTCCCATGCACATACCTCAACCCACAAGGTATGCCGAAATCGATTCACAATACTAAACAACACAACAACACACTCACAAAAGAACAAAACAACTGAGCATGCGCAATGGCGCAAAGTCCCAGGCGCGTGCACATGGCCGAACGGCCAACGCACACTCCGCACCTCCCTCCCCCGCCCCGCCCCCCACGCGAGGCTCCCACTCACACCGGAGGCCCAGCATAGAAAGAAGCGGCCTCTGAGGGGGGCGCGAAGAAAGGAGCCTCCGCCTCAGCGGCCCCGGTGAGAGGGGAAGCGGAGCAGGGCCGGGGATTGGAGGGGGCGTGGTTTCCTGGGAAGGGGTGTGGCCGGCGGAGGAGGAGGAGCAGGAGGGAAGGATTGCATCATTGCGGGTAGGGGCGGCACAATCCTTCCCTCCTGCCCCTCTTCCTCTGCCGGCCACGCCCCTTCCCAGGAAACCATGCCCCCTCCAATCCCCGGCCCTGCTCCAATGCAGAATGGGTTTGGAGTAGGTGTCCTTTGGGGGGCCCTTCCAATATGACTCAGAGTCTGGATGGCCCTTTGTCAGGAGGGATCGGATGGTGTTCTCCTACCTGGCAGAATGGTGTCCTTTGGGGGACCCTTTCAATACGACTCAGAGTTCGGATGGCCCTCTGTCAGGAGGGATCGGATGGTGTTCTCCTGCCTGGCAGAATGGGTTTGGACTAGGTATCCTTTGGAGTGGGGCCTTCCAATATGACTCAGAGTCCGGGTGCCCATCTGTCAGGAGGGATCGAATGGTGTTCTCCTGCCTGGCAGCATGGGTTTGGACTAGGTGTCCTTTGGGGAACCCTTCCAATATGTCTCAGAATCTGAATGGCCCTCTGTCAGGAGGGATCGGATGGTGTTCTCCCTGGCAGAATGGGTTTGGAGTAGGTGTCCTTTGGAGGGGACCCTTCCAATCTGATGGCCATCAGTCAGGAAGGATCGGATGGTATTCTCCTCCCTAGCAAAATGGGTTTGGAGTAGGTGTCTTTTGGAGAACCCTTCCAATATGTCTCAGAGTCTGGATGGCCCTCTGTCAGGAGGGATCAGATGGTGTTCCCCTCCCTGGCAGAATGGGTTTGGAGTAGGTGTCCTTTGGGGGGCCCTTCCAATATGACTCAGAGTCTGGATGGCCCTCTGTCAGGAGGGATTGGACGCATTGGGATCCAAGCATTGGGAAGGAAGAAAGGAAGGAGGGAAGGCAGGAAAGAAAGAGGTACCGAAGGAAGGAAGAAGAGAAAGTAGAAAGGGAAAAAAATAAAAGGAAGGAAAGGCAGGAAAGAGGTAAAGAAGGAAGGAGAAAAGAAAAGGTGAAAGAAGAAAGGAAACATGGAGGGAAGAAAGGGGGCGAAGGAAGAAAGGGGGAGGGAATGAAGGAAAGAGAGAAGGATGAAACCAAGGAGCGAAAGAAGGAAAGAAAGAGGAAGAGAAGGAAGAAAGGAGAGAAAGGGGGAGAAAAAGGGGGAAGGAATAGGTAGGTACTTCTCTTTCATAATACTCCAGATATCTACCTCTACTTTGAAAAGATTTACTATAGGCCACAGCAACACGTGGCAGGACACAGCTAGTGTATTATAAAGAAATTAAGAGAAATGTGCACATGGCTAAAGATAACGAAAGAGTAGAAAATGTGGCTTGGCCTGTTCTTCTGAGCCTGAAACAGACCCAGCAGCATTTGGTCTGTGTTGACAGTCTCCCCCTTCCAAGTACTAATGGGTTGCCCGCCCTCCGAGGCGTGGCCCAGGGGGGAAGGACCAGGAAGGTCTGCCTGCTTTGCTTTGCCTTGCCTTGCCTTGCTTTGTCTCGCCTGCCTCTCAGGCTGGGAAGCCAGCGCCTTCGGGGAAGGAAGCAGGGCCAGCCAGCCTGGTAAGCAACAAGGAAGCAAAGAAGAGGGAGGGAAAGAGGAAGGAGGGTCTGGGCATTGGCATCATGCTCCCTCTCCTTTTCCTTTCTGCCTGGCAAGACTCCCTTTTGAGGGGATTTCTGGAGGAGAAAAGCCTCAAACTCTGGCTTTCCTTCAAGCAGGGCTGGTTTCTGTTTCTCAGGCTGTTCAGAGTAGTAGGTTTTCCTTCCTAAATCTCCAAAAGCTGCCCCCTTTGCCCTAGGAAATGCCTCTGGTGATTCCAGATTTGGCTTGAGATGGGGTAAAAAAAGGGAAGTCGCATCTGACAGCCCTTCCAGGATCCCATCCCAGGTTTATCCCAGATTATCTGGCAGTGCGGGCTCATATAATCCAGTTTAAAAGAAGAAAACCTGGTATCAGATCCTTGGAGGGCCCTGAATCTGCTTTGAACTGGATTATATGAGTGTCCTTCCACACAGCCATATAACCCAGAATATCAAGACAGGTAATCCACAATATCTGCTTTGAACTGGATTATATGAGGGCCCTTCCACACAGCCATATAACCCGGAATATCAAAGCAAGTAATTCACAATACCTGCTTTGAACAGGATTATATGATGACTCTTCCACACAGTCATATAACCCAGAATATCAAGGGAGATAACCCACAATATCAGCTTTGAACTGGATTATATGTCCTGATATAACAAGGACTATCAGGACAGGTAATTCACAATATCTGCTTTGAATTGGATTATATGATGGCCCTTCTACACAGCCATATAACCCAGAATATCAGGGTTGATAATTCACAATATCTGCTTTGAACTGGATTATATGATGGCTCTTCCACACAGTCATGTAACCCAGACCATCAGAGTAGGTAATTCACAATATCTGCATTGAACTGGATTATACGAAGGCCCTTCCACACAGCCATCTAACCCAGAATATCAAGACAGATAATCCACAATATCTGCTTTGAATTGGATTATACGAGGGCCCTTCCACACAGCCATATAACCCAGACTTTCAGGGTAGGTAATCCACAATATCTGCTTTGAACTGGATTATATGAGGGCCCTTCCACACAGTCATATAACCCAGAATATCAGGGTAGGTAATATACAATATCTACTTTGAACTGGATTATATGAGGGTCCTTCCACACAGCCATATAACCCAGACTTTCAGGGTATGTAATCCACATATCTGCTTTGTACTGGATTATATGAGGGCCCTTCCACACAGTCATATAACCCAGAATATCAAGGGAGATAACCCACAATATCAGCTTTGAACTGGATTATATGAGGGCCCTTCCACACAGCCATATAACCCAGAATATCAGGGCAGGTAATCCACAATATCTGCTTTGAACTGGATTATATGAGGGCCCTTCCACACAGCAATATAACCCAGAATATCAAGGGAGATAACCCACAATATCAGCTTTGAACTGGATTATATGTCCTGATATAACAAGGACTATCAGGACAGGTAATTCACAATATCTGCTTTGAACTGGATTATATGATGGCTCTTCCACGCAGTCATGTAACCCAGACCATCAGGGTAGGTAATTCACAATATCTGCATTGAACTGGATTATACGATGGCCCTTTCACACAGCCATCTAACCCAGAATATCAAGACAGATAATCCACAATATCTGCTTTGAATTGGATTATATGAGGGTCCTTCCTCACAGCCATATAACCCAGACTTTCAGGGTAGGTAATCCACAATATCTTCTTTGAACTGGATTATATGAGGGCCCTTCCACACAGTCATATAACCCAGAATATCAGGGTAGGTAATCCACAATATCTACTTTGAACTAGATTATATGAGGGCCCTTCCACACAGCCATATAACCCAGAATTTCAAGACAGATAATCCACAATATCTTATATTAATTGGATTATTTGAGGGCCCTTCCACACAGCCATATAACCCAGAATATCAGGTCAGGTCAGGTAATTCACAATATCTGATTTGAAAAACTAGAGCAAAATGTGCTGCAGGATGTCCCACAAAGTTTTGGCAATTTCATCATTTTTTTCCTCCATGTTTTTATGATAGAACCAATTAGGAAATGACATTTATAATCCAGGAACAAACATTGTGTTACATAGTGTTACTATTATTTACTTTGCGGGGTTTTCTGCGCTGTGTGGCTGTGTTCTGGTAGCATTTTCTCCTGACGTTTCACGAGTTTGAGAAAGAATCTCAGGCTGGATCTACACTTCCATATAATGCAGACAATTGCATTATATACATCCGCACTGACCATATAGTGCAGTTCAAAGTGTGGATTACAGCCTTCTTCCACGTAATGCCGTGTTGGACTACAGTTTGGATAAAGTTGTCACCCTGCCAACTTTGGAGGACTACACAAGTATTATTTTGTCTCCGACCATGCTTAATCTCACTATGAGTTTACAATAGGGGAACTCCTTCCTGGTGAAAGAGTTTTGTCAACAGGGCTAATAACGCTAGATGGTGAAGATTGCAGAAATGATACGTCATCTACACCCGAAATACGTCTATATTTAGCTGTTGTGGTGGAAGGGTGATGTTTTCCAGTTCTTCGGGCAATGTGTATGTAGTTCAGAGAGTATGCTGTAGCACTGGAAGACTTTAGTAAAAAAAATCTGCACCAGACATTTGCCTGGATGAGATCTGGGATGGTCTTCATTCTGCCTGTAAAAAGTCAAAATAAAGGTTTCCCCTTGACATTATGCCTAGTCAAGTCCGACTCTGGGGGGTGATGCTCGTCTCCATTGTTAAGCCGAAGAACCGGCATTGTCCATAGACACCTCCTAGGTCATGTGGCCAGCATGACTGCACGGCGTGCCGTTACCTTCCTGCTGAAGTGGTACCTATTGATCTACTCACATTTGCATGTTTTCGAACTGCTAGGTTCGTAGAAGCTGGGGCTAACAGTGGGAGTTCACTCCATCTGTGGATTCGAAAGACTGACCTTCCGCTCAGCAAGTTCTGAAGCTTAATGGTTTAACCCGCTGCGCCACCACGGCCCCTATGCTGCCTGGAGCACACATCATTTAAGTGTCACAGACAAGAAGAAATAGAACTCATGCTTGGGCTTCATCCTTATACGCTTTAGCTAACTCTGCTAAGGGAAAAAATGAAAACAGGGAAGGGAAGCATGCAGATGATATTGGATGATCCAGATGATATTGGATTCCAGATGATCCAAATGATATTGGATTTCAGCTCCCAGCATTCCTCACCATTGCCTAGGGCTGTAGGGAATTGCAGTGCAATCTGATCTGGAGGGCATTACACCCTGATGTTGATCATCATCGCCATCATCATCATCATCATCAAAAAGTGAAATATATAATACAATGTTTCTGAATGGAATACTCCTTTTCAATGTTGCAGCCAGTTTTGATTTAACCCAGGATATGCTTTTCCATTGGGGCCACAGTGACGCAGCAGGTTAACCGCTAAGCTGCGGAATTTGCTGTCCATTCATCCGACAATCAAGACAGCAGTCTGTAGCTAGTGACTATGCTTGGTCCTCATTGGATGATTTTCTTGATTTCTTTAATGAGCAGAGCCCAGACTTGGTTGTAGCTAGGTTGTTGTTGTGTGCCTTCAGGCTATTTCTGACATAAGGCGACCGTACTCTATGTTTTTATGAGGTTAAGAGTCTGATTTGTCCATGGACATCCAGTGGGTTTCCATGGCAGAGTAGGGATTCAATCCCTGGCCTCCAGAGCTATAGACCAACACTCAAACCAATATCACATGCTGTTACGTAAAATTGTTTGTACATTTGTTTTTAGTTCTGCAATTTTACAATTTCCTAAACCCTACAGGCAGTACTACTCGATGGATGGTGCTGCTTTTGTTTTTGGTGGATTAACATGTAGATGATAATGATGATTTATTTATTTATTTATCATGTCAGAAGCGAATTGAAGGTACAGTTGTAATGTATTTAAAAACACAAAGTTAAAAAACTTGTACTAAATTATACTAAATTTCCTTTGACCAGTAGCTGGCCACTTGGAGTACATCTGGTGTTGATATAAGAAGTTCCTCCATTGAACATGTGGCAGGGCTCAGACTGCATTATAATAGGTGTTCTGTGGTTTGCTGTTCTCCACACTCACATGTCATGGATTCCACTTTGTAGCCCCATTTCTTAAGGTTGGCTCTGCATCTCATGGTGCCAGAACGCAGTCCTCACAGCTCGAGGTACTTGTCTGTTCTTAAAGTGAAAAAGCCTTCCAAGTTGCCCAGTCTTCTGTGTACCCAAGAGGTAGTCTCTCATCCGGTATCAGCCATCGATTGAGGTTCCAGGTTTTAGCCTGCCACTTTTGGACTCTTGCTTGCTGAGATGTTCCTTCAAGTATCTCTGTAGATCTTACAAAGCTATTTATTGATTTAAGGCATTGGCATGCTGGCTGATATCTGAACAGGGGATGGGCAAGAGATGTCACTGTCTTGGTTGTTTAATTATTGGCGGATATTTGGCGGTACAATACCAGCTAAGCAGTATAATTTCTCCAGTGGTGTAGGGGTGTTGATATCCTGTGCTAATGCAGCATGTCTCATTAAGAGCCATGTCCACTGCTTTAATGTGGTGAGATCTGTTCCACACTGGGTATGCGTATTCAGCAGCAAAGTAGCAAAGCACAAGGGCAGATGTCTTCACTATGTCTGGTTGTGATACCCAGGTTGTGCCAGTCAGCTTTCATATGATATTGTTTCTAGTGCCCACTTTTTGCTTGATAGTCTTATAAGTCAGAGCATAGTCCAGGATAATTCCCAGTTCCAGTGGGATTCCTTCTCAGGTAATTCTCAGAGCTCGAGGTACTTGTCTGTTCTTAAGGTGAAAAAGCACACATCTGCATTTTAGATGGATTCAGAATCAGCTGGTTTTCTCTGTAATAGGCAGCAAGACCACCTAAATCTTTGGAGAGCTTCTGTTCAACCATTTCAAAGCTCCCTGCTTGGGGATGATGGCACGATCGTCAGCATA